AAACTCTAAACCCTTTTCGTTATATATATATATATGTATGTATGTATGTATGTATGTATGTATGCATGCATGCATGCATGCATGTATGTATGTATGTATGTATGTATGTATATGTATATGTATATGTATATTGCATATGTATATTGCATATATATATATATTTATTTATTTATTTATTTATTTAATTATTTTTTTTATTTATTTGTTTATTTATTTATATGTATATATATATATATATATTTGCTTATTTATGTATTTGTGTATTACAGATATACATGTACATACCCTAAACGCCCTAAAGCCCTAGACCGCAAGCTTAGTCCCGATGCCCTTGTGCCGAGGTTGGAGAGCTCTACCTATGGGCAATGCTACACCAAATGAAGCTGTGCAAGTCGGAGCCGGGATGGGTTTAGTTAGGGTTTTCTGGAATTTATAGGGCTTTTAGGGCTTAGGGTTTACTTAGGGCTTTGGGGTTTATAGGGTTTATAGGGTTTTTGGGGTTTAGGGTTTAGTTAGGGTTTATAAGGTTTTTAGGGTTCAGGGTTTAGTTAGGGTTTACATAGGGGTATGTATAGGGGCTTTGGGTTTAGGGTTGGGTCGAAAAAGGAGGGGTTCTGGGGTTTAGGGTGGTGCGTACAGCTACTTCTTTCTGCTACTTCCACAAGTGATGTAGTGTAGGTGTCAGCTACCCACTGTCCTCACTTGGGGTTTGGGTTTAGGTTTAACTTTAACTCTGAGGTTGAGGCTTTGGAGGAGCCGCAAAAGCCGTCTCCTTTCTGGTGCTTATGGGGGAGTGGGGGAGTGGATCCCTATACTTGTCCCTGTATACTCCCCGATAGTAGTCCCTATATTTCCTTCCCCCACTCACTTTTAGGCATGAGTGAGTCTTCCGGGATGCCTAATCTACAACCCCCTACAGCCCGATAAAACCACTTCCACGGCCCCTGCGCTAGAGACTTAAAAACTTATACCTGAACTCTTCTGAAGGTTTTTCAAGAGCCCTAAACATGGAAACCTCAACACCCCTTTGCAGGAGCTCTTCTCCGCCACGCCAAAGCTGGGCGAGTTCTACGCGAGGATCGCGGGGCTCGCCGGCGTGAAGAAGGCAGGTTTTAAGGGGCTTGTAATAATGATTGCTCAATGATCACGGCTTAGGGCTCAGTCACGGAATCCGGACTGAGCCCATTGCAGCTTTCTTTCTAATTATTCTTTATTGATGCTCGTGCTTCGTGCAGTTCAGCTTTGCTATGATCACCCGTACGGCTCGTATGCAAACCCTACATGCCGGACCCAAGCGCTGTAGATGTTCGGGCCGTGTGGCAATGTAAAGCTTGGCAACCCGATCCGACGGACCTTGCACGCTGGCACTGCAGGCTTTGGGGTTGAGGGTTTAGGGGGTGTTCCGGGTTTGAGTTTGGAACCCTAAACCCTAGACCGCTTTAGCTTCGAACTTCGGTTTACGGTTTAGTGTGTTGGGATATTCCGCGTTCAGGGTGTAGGGCTCCGACGCGAAGTCTGTTGGTCGAAACATGGGTCAAACCCTGACCCTAGTAGGGAACCACTAGTAAGACCCTTGACCCCTAAACCCTCCAAGCCCTAAGCCCAAGACTCTATATATATATATATATATACACACACACACCTTCTCTAATCTCACAATTTCCTGTCACGGCAATCTACCGAACCTTGCATCGAAAGCTTCACCAGCGCCACAGGTGGTCAGTGGCGCCTCCACTTACGGTGAGTGGGAGCAATACTTTGTCAATCCTGAGTGATTAGAGCAGCCCTCACTACGCTCCTATCAGCACAAAGAGTGCAGTAGCCATTGACATTGACCCAGGGTGAAGCCTCTAGCAAGCGGTTTTTTGCGTTGCGATTTTGATGCTGTCCTAAACGTTCCCATAATGCGACAGCAGCCCACGAAATATCATCGTCCTCAGCTGTATTGGAAGCCGACAAGAATCGGAATCTTTTTGGCTTTGCCAAAAACCTACTTCCGTTTTCCTTACACTGTTTTGTTGAGAAGCTGCTGCCCAGTCAAACCCAAACATAAAACCCTTCAACTCCAAACCCAAAGGTTTTGCTTCGCCAGATTCCAGAGGTTCCACCATCCTGTCACTGTATGGCTTTGGGTTTGGGCACCCCTCTAAATGAACTCCTAAACCGGAACCCCTTTTGGGGCATTTTGCTGCAGGGGTTCGTGTGTTTGGCCTTTACGGTCTGGCGCTATAGAGGACATCATTCGAATAATTGGGGGTTTTGCGGTGTAGAAACTTCTGTTGGGACCGGGAGGGGAAAGGAGGACTTATGCTGGGAACGGGTGGGGATATGAGTTTCTACGATTGAAGAGCTGTTCAGACTTGAATGTATGCAGGCTTTGCAGAGTAGAGTGCTTTGAGCAAGGGTCAAGGGATGGCAGGTATGGTTTGTCCTCATAATTACTCGAGGAGCATCTAGAATTGCTCAACTTCGCGTGCTCTTTTTGTCTTCCGTTTGCACGACATCTGCAACACTTAAACCCTGGACCGGAGATCATGAACCATCAGCCACTGGTTTTGGACCCTCCACCCTCAACACTAAGCCTGAAGCCCAACGTACTTCAGCCGTGGGTTCAGACTCGCGTCCCTCAGTGGCAACCATCGGCTTGCAGAAAAAACGACTAAACAGCGACTCCTTCCACCTGACGTTGCTTTGCATCTAGGGGGTCGTTCTAAATTCAGGCTCTCTTCGTCGTTCAGGCTTCAGGTTTGCAAGGTTTTCGGTTAAGGGTCTCTTGTTTTGTTGGGAGTACCCGGGAAGCACACCCAAGTTTCGAGCTTCTCCAACACCTGGGGTCAGCATGTTACGCCGCGTAAAGCTGCGTAAGACACCCAACTCCATGTCCAATGTACGGCCCCAAGTTAGGGTTTAGAACTTCTAACTCGGTGTGAATCCAGACTTAAACCGGACGCCTAAAACTCACTTAACGACTCTTGCCAAGATATCACCCTGAACCCCAAACCCTATAAAGCCCTAAACCCTAAACTGAACCTTCAAACCTCGGAGGCTTAAACCCTGTGCATCGAGCGATTGTGCGAGCCGAAACCCTGTACAAACCCTAAGAGCTTTGTGTTTTACCGGTTTGGGGCAGGGTTTAGGGTCGAAAACCCTAGAAACCGGGTACATTGGCACCTGGAACTTTCAAAGCCAGACAGAGAGAGTGGATACCATAGCCTAAACCCCAAACACCAAGCCCACGACCCTGCCTCGCCTGGATTGTCCGAGTGTGAGCGCTGAAACCCACGACCCTAAACCCTAAACTATGAACTATAGGGGCCCAAATAATTGCCAATACTTTTTTGGGGGTTCCTTATAACAATACTATTAGGAACAATAATAATAGTATAGTGGGCCCCAAAACCCTATTCCAATTATCAAGGCCCCTAGATTATGCACTCCCAGACCCCGTGTCTGAACGTTAATTAATAGCCCGGTGCTATTTTGTGCCAGACGACAGATGCAGGGTTGAGGTTGAGGGTGGCCTCGGGGCCCTATCGCTTCTGCTTGTTACGAATCTCAGCATTTTTTGCAGCCACAACTCTCACCAAGAGTTGTGAGCACCATTACTTCTGCTACTACTACTACTACTACTACTACTGCTACTGCTACTGCTACTGCTACTGCTACTGCTACTGCTATGCCTACTACTACTACTACTACTACTACTACTACTACTGCTACTGCTACTGCTACTGCTACTGCTGCTGCTACTGCTACTGCTACTGCTATTCCTACTACTACTACTACTACTACTACTACTACTACTCTGTGTGGCATCTGTGTGAACCTTCCTGTGTTGGAACTTCCAAGTACCTTTGTCTATGAACCTGCGGTATGGTTTTCCAGTGACAGCCTGCGCAGCCACCATTCACCACAATCACAAACTCCCACCATATGGTGCTTATTAGTGCTGTTGCGCTCACTACCGCGAGTCTCTATGCCTGTTTGTGTTTACTGGTTGATGTTGTCAGCGAACAGTGGTTCAGCTTGGGTCGTTTTGAGCTCGCTTCTTTCGCCTGCCGCCACGTCAGCATTTAGAACGTTGATTTTTGTGGGGGACATGCAGATAGAATGGTCTCGATCCGCCCAGCGACGATCGATGACTTACCTGGTATGCAGGCATGTGCCAGCCTCAGACTTTTGATTAAAGCCCGCGCCCGCATAAAGTCTACTACGTCAGCCATCATTCCTAAACCGGCTCGACGCAACCCGCAATCCTGTAGTAGGTCGGAAAAATGACCATTTCTGTCCCTGAGGCCCGGCTTCCTTCTTGGATTTATGCCCCTACAGTTAGCAGGTGCTATGGATCGAGATGTTCCGACTCCTTTTTTTGGAGGGTTTCGCAGCCTGGAAGTGCCGAGGCAATCTTTGCTGCCTACCCGAGAACTACCAGATGAGCCTACGATGCACTCAGGTTTCATCTTACATAATTATTGTAGAAAGTTGAGCCGAAGCCCGCCCAAGCTGAGTCGAAAGCCTGTTAAGGTTTAAGGTTTAGGGTTAAAGGCTTTGGGTTTAGAGTTTAGGGTTTAGGGCCCTGGAGTTCAGGAAGTATTACCTCTACCACGCCCTGTCGTGGCCGCAGTTGCCACAGGTAGCAGCCGCGGCCTCAACAAAGCAGAACTTGGTATTTCGGAGTGCGGGGTTGGACAGACTGGGGAGTTTCAGACATCGATGAGTACTGAGTACATGATTGATGGGGATCCTTTATAGTAAGGACCCTCTTACTTAGGCATCTATGTTGGTGTCCCCTGTGTTCTTATCTAGCCTGGCGGGGATAGGACACACAGTGATGAAGAAGTGAGCGCTAGGGCTGGGCGGATTGCGAGGAAGGTTCCCTAAACTTTAAGCTTCTCACGGTGAGCTGGCCAGCCAGGAGTTAGTCTCTGAATGTTGACCTTTTCAGGGAGCATTTTCCTTCTCATACCTCATGTCTTGTTTTGGACATCCTAAGGATATTCTTACGATTTCGGGCCTCAATGATGACCAATACAATTCCTCAGAGTCCCCTGATCTAAACGCACGATCATGTAAGTAACCCAAACCCTGATCCAACCATCAAGGCACCAGCGAACCCTCGAGCCATAGCATAATGCCTGGTCTTCGCATCGAAGTGATCTTGATGTTGATGCAGGACACGGCGAGCATTGCCGATTTCAGTCCTCACGGCACTCATGCGAATTTCCGATCTTTACGGTCATGCTGATGCGAATGACTGCGACGCTGTCGACGAGTGATGAGAAGATAAGCCTAGACTGCTAGGGAAGAACACGGCTCCAACGCTAAAGCAGTTTTGAAGAAAGAACCAAGGACACCAGACTCAAAGCCTATCACACCTGGCAACCCTAGTTCGATGAGCACTCGAAACCCCAACTCCTAAGGTGGATAGCCAGAACCGAATCGTTGGCTACGTCCTTGCCAAGATGGAGGAGGCAAAGCAGATTTTGAGTTTCAAGGCCTTGCGAGTGGGTTTGCAAAGCCCTATTAACCCTAAACTTATGGGTTTGACCTCGGACCATCATATGCTTCGCCTGGAGTGTCCGAGTGTGAGCGCCGAAACTTATGGGTTTAGGATTTAGGGTTCGGGATGTCAGGAAGATCTTTGGGGTTTAAGGGAAGTAGACGTCAGGGAAGGCTCGGGCACAGGTTGCGGAGGATGAGCGATGATATTTTAATTAAACCAAGATTGAAAGTAGCACAACACACTAGTGCAGGGACCAAGATGCTTGCAGAAGCAAGCGCTTCTTTTCGTAGTGCAAATTACCGCACTCACCGTTGTTTTCCACTTGTAGTCATTGGAACCACAGCCATGGAGAGGTAGCCCCGAATCTAAACACCTCGTCTAATACTCCCCGGGTTAAACCCAAAGGACACGGACGAAGTCCACGGCCACATCACCTCCCTCGCGGTCATGCGAAGCCAGGGTCTAAATGTGCTGTTTCGAGCTGAGGACTGCCGGTACGCACCATGAGCGGTAAAAGCCAGTGCTAGAACAGTGTACTGAACAGTATGTTTCGTAGTTCTGTTCTGGAACAGAGCATCACGACAACAGCTTTCTGAATGAGCTGAAAGGCATTTGGTTCTTGGACAAAAGCTGTCCTCTTCTGAGAATCCCCGGACTCTAAACCCTAGAACCCTCATCCCTAAGCTTTGCCTAAACCCTAAACACTGCAAGTGCGATGGTATTGCCTGAGATCCAGAAGTATGTTTACCGTTGATGACAGTGGATCTCAGTGAGAGAAAGCCCCTACCTTCTAGCAGGTGTAGACTTATGGTTGAGTGTTTTCTCTGTGGCCGTAATCTCCCAATCAAAGCATGTCTCACTCAAGCAGGCCTTCAACGGCATGCCTCGCCTGGAGTGTCCGAGTGTAAAAAGCCTCAACCCTCAACACGTGAACCCCCCACGCCCAACAGCCAAGGCTACCGCCGACTTGGGATTGCCACAGCCCTCATGAGGCAGCGCCGCAACGCTTCCAGCGAACCCTGCATCTATCTAAACGTGGCATCAAAGACCAAGGAACCTGCTTTGAAGTCTTGGAACCTCAGGATTTCCGGCTTCAATGTTTCGAGGCCTAAGCGATTGATTGCATGGCTCTGTTGAAATGGAGTTTGTTTGGTTTGTGGCCTAAACCCTAAACCCTAAACCTTAAACCGTGACGTGGATTCAAGGCAGGGCTCTTTTTCTCAACTAAACCCAAAAATCCGTTTCCAAGCATAGGGGGCCTGCCTAAGTTGCTCGAATGAAGCAGCAAGCATGCACTGGTACAATTGTTTCTTCCGACACCGGCAGTTTCAAGACTTGCAGTGCACCTAGATGTTGGTTTCTACTGATTAACCAGCACGATAACCTACCACTTGCAGCATGTTTTGTGTTGCTGCTGCTGCTGCTGCT